GAGCCACATCCTCAGCCCTCTTTATTTTTTGTTTTGAGACAGGGTCTTACTAAGTTGCATACGGACTTGCTAAGTTGCTGAGGCTATCCTTGAACTAGTATCCTCCTGTCTCAGCCTCCCAAAATGCTGAGATTATAGATGCGATCCATCACAGTCAGCCATTGTCTGTCTTTATGGGAATGCAGTAATAGCTCTTTGAGGTTGTAATATGAATTTCACTAATGAATATATTAGCCTTTTATTTTCTTTAGTGAAATGTCTATTCAAGTCTTTTGCCAAAATTTTACCTGGATTGTCATCATATTGACTTTTTTAAAGTTATTGATGGACCTTTATTTGTTTATATGTGGTGCTGAGAATTGAACCCAGTGCCTCACACATGCTAGGCAAACGCTCTACCACTGAGCCACTACCCCAGCCCCACATCTTATTGAGTTTTAAGGATTTTTCCCATATATTTTGAATACAAATACCTTATTATTTATATGATTTGCAAATATTTTATTTCAGTGTGTGGTTTGTCTTTAAATTTCCTTTAAGGTATATTTTAAAGAGCGATGTTTTACATTTTTGATAAAGTCCAATTTATGCCACTTTTCTTTTATGAATTCTGCTGTTATTTCTTGGTACTAAGAATTGACCCCAGGGGCATTTTAACTATATCCCTAGCCCTTTTAAATGTTTTTTTTTTTTTTTTTTTTAATTTTGAGGTAGGGTCTTGTTTAGTTGCTGAGGATGGCTACAAACTGAGATTCTCCTGATTCAGCCTCCCGAGTTGCTGTGATTATAAGCATGCACTACTTAGCTGAATTGCACTTCTGATGTGGTCTCTAAGAAGCCTTTATCTAACTCAGGATCATAAGAATTTTCTTCTGAAGGTTTTATACTTTTAGCTTTTAAATTTAGGTCACTGATGCAATGTGAGGGATTTTTTTTGTATGTGTGTATGTGTGAATAGTGTGAGGAAAGTATCTCAATTCATCTTTTTTTGTATGTGCAATATGCTGAAAATTGTCCTAGTGCCATTTATTGAAAAGATTTTTGTTATTATATCAAATTACCTAGCACTTTTTTTGTATTAACTACATGTCTACCCTTATGCCAGTCCCACACTGTCTTCACTGTAGTTTGAAATCAGGATATATTAGTCTTCTGACTCTATTCTTTTTTCTTAACTATTTATTTATGACAGCAGAATGCATTACAATTCTTATTACATATATAGAGCACAATTTTTCATATCTCTGGTTGTATACATAGTATATTCACACAAATTCGTGTCTTCATACCTGTACTTTGGATAATAGTGACCATCACATTCCACCATCATTTCTAACCCCATGCCCCCTCCCTTCCCCTCCAACCCCTCTGCCTTATCTAGAGTTCGGCTATTCCTCCCATGCTCCTGCTCCCTATCCAACTATGAATCAGCCTCCTTATATCAAAGAAAACATTTGACATTTGTTTTTTTGGGATTGACTAACTTCACCTAGAATTATCTTTTCTAACTCCATCCATTTACCTGCCAATGCCATGATTTTATTCTCTTTTATTGCTGAGTAATATTCCATTGTGTATATATACCACATTTTTAAATCCATTCATCTATTGAAGGGTATCTAGGTTGGTTCCCACAGTTTAGCTATTGTGCTGCTATAAACACTGATGTGGCTGTGTCCCTGTAGTATGCTGTTTTTAAGTCCTTTGGGTATAGACCGAGGAGAGGGATAGCTGGGTCAAATGGTGGTTCCATTCCTAATTTTCCAAGGAATCTCTATACTGCTTTCCATATTGGCTGCACTGATTTGTAGTCCTAACAGCAGCGTATGAGTGTACCTTTTTACCCACATCCTTACCAATACTTATTGTTGTTTGTATGCATAATAGTTGCCATTTTGACTGGAGTGAGATGAAATCTTAGAGTGGTTTTGATTTGCATTTCTCTAATTGCTAAAGATGATGAACATTTTTCTCGTGTATTTGTTGATTGATTGTATATCATCTTCTGAGAAGCATCTCTTCAGGTCCTTGGTCCATTTATTTATTGGGTTATTTTTTTGTGTGTATGTGTGTTTAGCTTTTTGAGTTCTTTATATATCCTAGTGATTAGTGTTCTATCTGATGTGTGAGGGGTAAAGATTTGCTCCCAAGATGTAGGCTCTCTATTCACCTCACAGATTGTTTCTTTTGCTGAGAAGAAACTTTAGTTTGAGTCCTTCCCATTTATTGATTCTTGATTTTAATTCTTGTGCCACAGGAGTCTTATTAAGGAAGTTGGGGCCTAATCCAACATGATGAAGATTAGGGCCTACTTTTTCTTCTATTAGATGCAGGGTCTCTGGTTTTATTCCTAAGCCCTTGATCCATTTTGAGTTGAGTTTTGTGCATGGTGAGAGATAGGGGTTTAATTTCATTTTGTTGCATATGGATTTCCAGTTTTCCCAGTATCATTTGTTGAAGAGGCTATCTTTTCTCCAATGCATCTTCTTGGCACCTTTGTCTAATATAAAATAATTTAGTTTTGTGGGTTAGACTCTATATCCTCTATTCTGTACCATTGGTCTACTAGTCTGGTGCCAATACAATGCTGTTTTTGTTACTATTGCTCTGTAGTATAGTTTAAAGTGTGGTATAGTGATGCCACCTGCTTCTCTCTTCCTGCTAAGGATTGCTTTAGCTATCGATTTATTTTTATGTAGTGTTGAGGATCGAACCTAGGGCTTCGCACATGCTAGGCGAGAGCTCTACCACTGAGCTATAACCCAAGCCCCTGACTCTGTTCTTTTTCTATATTATTTTGACTATTCTAGATCTTTTCCATTTGCATATAAGTATAGGATCAAGTTCTTAATTTCTGCAAAATGGCAGCTGGGATATTGATAGAAATTGAATTGAATCTACAGATCATTTTGGGAAGAATCAGCATCTTAATATTTTGTCTTCCAATCTGTAAAAATGGGATATCTTTATATTATTTACATTTTATTTCTTGGCACAATGTTTCTTGGCACAAATATGAAAATCATGGGCTTCTTTTGTTACTTTTATTCCTAAGTATTATATTCTTTTTGATGTTATTATGAATAGAACTGTTTCTTAATTTTGTTTTTCATTTTTTATTATTATTATCTAGAAATACAATTGATTTTTGATTATTACATTATCCAATCTTGTTAATCTTGTTTATTAGTGCTATACTTTTTAATGGATTTCTTGGGATTTTCCATATGTGAGATCCCATTATCTATTAATAGACAGTGACATCAGTCAAGATGGTGGACAAGGAACTCCAGAAGACTGTCCTTCTGTAAAAGTAATGAAAAAGGTGGCAAAAACTGTCAGAAACAATAAACTTTCCAAAACTCTGGAAACTTATCATTGTAGAAGCTAGAAAGAAATATATATATATATATATATATATATATATATATATATATATATATATATATATAAATAAAAAAGATCTCATGAAATTATATGGGATGCCTATAGAATTGAGGAAGAGGATCAGGGGAGGGAGGAGGCTAGGGAAAGGTGAGATATTGGGGAGTGAAATTGATCTAATTATGTTACATGTATGCACAAGTATGTCATAATGAATCCTATTATGTATAATTACAATGCATAAGTAATAATATTTAAAAATGAATGAAATAAACTCCTCTGGAAATCAACCTAAAACTTGCAGCAACCCAGGAGGGCTTATTTAAGAAAAAATGTCTGACTTTGGCAAGAACAGAGCTTTGTGACAAGTTTTACTCTAGTTTCATCCATTGCTTTCCAAATCAGTCATAGTTTTGAAAATAATCTGTATTCTCAAAACCAGTCTTGGAGCGAGCAGATGGACCATATTTGCCAAGAATTGATTTGTCTACTGGATCTCTCTGGAATACTTGCTCACAAGGCAATGTCTTTATCTTGCCCAACTCCAAACTTACCCAGTGCTAAAGTCACTACCTGGGGGCACTTGTTTAAACATTTGTAGGCAAATGTTTTATTAATTGCTCTCAGAGGCAATGGATAACAGTTGAGGCAAACAGTGGACTAGCCAAAAAGCTTGGAAGGAAAGTCTAAGATGTGTCAAGAAATAAAGGCTTTGAAATGTTCGATTACATTCCTGAGAATCTAGAAGTCCATATACAAGTCTAGGACTGTTTGCAAGCTCAAGAAAATCCCGAGAATGTCCCAAACTCTCATCTCTGGCTGACCTTGAGGCTCCCCATGAGCCAGATATAAAAGTTAAGAGTTTTAAACTGCCTAAATGTTGAAAGCATTCCCCAGCATGCACATAGAACCCCCTTTTAAAGACTGGGTTATAGGAATTTAAAGAAATCTCAACCTGTACACTCAGAAAAATGAGAAATTACATCCCATCTGATTCAAATGTATGATGTCAAGGTCATTGTATTGTCATGTGTAACTAATTAAAACAAATTAAAAAAGAAATCTCTGTCCAAATGTTGGCTGACCCTTAGGCTGACAGATTTCTGTGAATAAATATGGAAAAATCATATAGTCTTTACAAAAAATAGATAATCAAAGATGTTAAATGGCAACAAACTCTGAGGATGAAGAAAAACCTGATTTCCTGGGTTGCCATATTACAATATTCAACAAAACGTTTTGAGGCAGGCAAAGAAACAAAGTATGACCTACATTGATGGGGAAAACTGTAGTCATTAGAAACTGCTCCTGAGAAATCCCAGATGTTATACTTTCTAGATAAAGATTTTAAAATAGTATTTGAAGGTTTGAAATATTTTCAAAGAGCCAAAGGAAACTGTCTAAAGAATTAAAAGCAGGGGCTTGAGAGTGCTGAGTGCCAAGCACCATCATGTCGGTGCTTCGCTGACTCGGCGCCTTGAGGCAGCTGGTAAGTGGGAGCGCGTGGAGCGGGGAGGGGGAATTCCTCCCGCCTGCAGCAGTCTTTTCTTCGCCTTGTGACAAGTAGAGTTTGGAACAGGTTGCCTGTGGTGACCCTGAACCTGCGTCTTTTTGAGGCTCAGCAGGAAGAGAAGTCCAAACCCATCAGTCGTTACCCTATTCCCTACAAGAAGGACCTGCCTTTTGACATTGTAGAGCTCATGGAGGAGATAGAAAAGAAGACAGGATTTTTACCAAATATATTGAAAGTTTTGTCTTACTGGCCATTGGAATTCCGAGCCTTCTTTGCTTATTACAATGCCATCTGCAACAAAACAACAGGACAGCTCAGCAGAGCAGATAAGGAACTCATCATTGTAGTGACCAGCCTGGTCAACAGGAGCTTATACCATGTGGTTGTCCATAGTGCTTGGTACAGAGTCTACTCAAAGAACCCAGTGCTCTCTGACCAGGTCTGTATGAATTGGAGAAAGTCTGACCTTCCTGCCCCGGAAAAAGCAATGCTGGAGTTTGCACTTGCTGTTTCCCAAGCTGATGATATAACAGATGACCATTTCAAAAAGCTTGAGATATATGGCTTCAGTAGAGAAGATGCCTGGGACATAGCTGCCATTTCATCTTTTTATGCCATGGCCAATCGCCTTGCTCATTTTATCAAACTCGTTCCCAACAAAGAATTCTACTTTATGGGCAGAACTAGTGATCATCGAGAGTGAACGTGCTGCTCCCAAAGTATAAAAGCCTGAAAAGGGAAAAAACAAAACAAAACAGTGTTTATCATTTCAGTCATGTTGTATTAGGAGACATCAGTTGGAAAGTAATTTTTAAAAAAAATATCTGTCATTGGATAGAGAAGAAGAGTAAATAAATGTGTTTCCTTGTGAAAAAAAAATAAAAGCAGGGGCTGGGGATGTGGCTCAAGTGGTAGCGCGTTCGCCTGGCATGCGCAGGGCGTTGGGTTCCATCCTCAGCACCACATACAAATAGAATAAAGATGTTGTGTCCACCGAAAACTAAAAAAATAAATATTAAAACTTCTCTCTCTCTCTTAAAAAAGAACTAAAAGGAAATATGAGAATATCAATGAAAATATAGAAATTATATAAAAAGTAGAAATTCTGTAGTCAAAAAGCACAATAACCAAAATAAAGAATTCACTAGAAGGGCCCAACAGATTTGAGTATGAAGAAGAAAGGATCAGAAAACTTTAAGATAGGTAAATTGAGATTATTTAGATTGAGGAAGAGAAAAAAAGTGAAGAAAAATGAACAGAGCCCCAGAGATCTGTATACTAACATCCAAATCATGGATATCCAATAAGGAAGGGAGAGAGAAAGGAACAGAAAGAAATATGAAAAAAATAATAAAAACATGAATGCATACAAGAAGCTCAAGAAACTCTAAGCCATATCAATTTAGACAAGTAGTAATAGAGATAGTTTTATTTCTTTCTTTCAAATATGAATTCTTCTTTTTGTTTTGATTTTCTTTTGGTGTGTGTTATGTATATATGAGGTGTCCCCCAAAAGCTCATATGTGAGACAATGCAAGAGGGTTTAAAGGTGAAATGATCAGGTTATGAGAGCCTTAACATAATCAGTGCATTAATCTGCTGATAACATCCAAGGATCAACTCGGTGTTATCTGTAGGCAGGTAGGATGGGATTGGAGGAGGTGGGTTGATGGGAGCATACTCCTGTGGTTTATATTTTGTCCGTGGTGAAGGAAGCTCGCTCACTCTCTCTCTCTCTCTCTCCCTCCCTCCCTCCTTCCCTCCCTCCCTCCCTCCCTCTCTCCCTCTCTCCCTCCCTCTCTCCCTCCCTCCCTCCCTCCCTCTCTCCCTCCCTCCCTCCCTCTCTCTCTCTCTCCCTCCCTCTCTCTCCCTCCCTCTCTCTCTCTCCCTCCCTCCATCCCTCCTTCCTTTCTGTTATGATGTCCTGAGCTGCTTTCCCTTGACACACCCTTCTGCAATGATGTTCTGCGTCACCTTAGGCCCAAGGCAATGGACCTGGCCATCAGTGCACTGAGGTCTCTGAAACTGTGAGCCCCCAAATAAACTTTTCCTTCTCTAAAATTTTTCTTGTCAGGATTTATGGTCACAGCAACAAAAAAATCTTACTAAAACAGTGTATGACACCAGCTAATACATCATTATAATGTTGAATATAACATAGGAATGAACATCTTTGCCTTATTCCTAGTTTTAAGGAGAAAGCATTCAGACTTTAAACCCTAGGTATTATTTTTATCTAGAGGTTTGTTATAGTTCTAGTTTGTTGAGAGTTTTTATAATGAATGGGTATTGGATATTGTCATACTTTTTCTGAATTTATTAAATGATTATGTGATTCTGTCCATTTTATTAATGTATTACATTATTTGATTTTCAGATAGTAAATCAACTTTGGGATAAAAAATTTTTGGTTATGGTGTTTAATATTTTGGACATGTTTCTGGATTTTAAGTCTACTTAAATTTTGCTAAGGATTTTTTGCATCTCTACTCATGAAAGCTATTTGTAGTATTCTTTTCATATCATGTTTTTGATTGCTATTGGTATTAGGGCAATATTAGCCTCATAAAATGAATGGGGAACTTTATTCTCCCCTACTTTAAGGAAGAATTTGTGTGAGATTTACTTATTTTCCTTATATGTTTGAATTCACCACTGAGGCCATCTCAACCTGAGCTTTTTTGGGGGTGTGTGTGTGTTAAATTACTAATTGAATTTCTTTGCTTCTTATAGGTATGGTCTTTAAAAAATTCTTCTTTGAGGCAGTTTAGGTAATTCGTGTCTTTCTAGAAACTTGTGCATTCATCTAAATTATTGAATTTCCTGGCATAGAGTTACCTATAGTATTTTAACTTCTGTAAGACCCATAATGATGTCTACATATTCGTTTTTGTTAATTTGTTTCCTTACCTTTTATTGGTCAATCTAATGAAGTTGTTGTTGATTTTGTTGTTTCAAGGCCAATTTTGATATCATAAATCTTCTCTGTTTTTCTATTTCATTGGTCTCCAATGTGATCTTCTCACATTGTGATCTTCTCTTACTTCTCTTCCTTTTTGCTCTGGGATTTCTTTTTTTTCTTTTAAGATACAAGCTTAGGTTATTCATGTGTGATCTTTCTTTTTAGATATTTGAAATTACAAAGAACACTCTAAGCCCTGCTTTGTTTCTATGTCATAAAGTTTGGTATGTTTTAGTTTTGTTTTCCCTCAGCTCAAAGCATTTCTAATTTTTCTTGCAATTTCTTCTATGATTTCAATATGTTTGGATATAATTTGCTCCCCACTCAAGGTTTTATGTGTTGGAAGCTTGGTCCCCACTGTGGCAATGTTGAGGCAGTGGAACCTTTATGAGGTGGGGCCTAGAGGGAGATGTTTAAGTCATTGAGAACATTGCTCTCAGAAGGGATTAAGTTAGTTATTGTGGGACCCTGAGTTAGTTCTTGCAAGAGGGTTATTTTATTTTTATTTTTTTTTAATTTTTTATTGTGGGTTGTTCAAAACATTACAAATTTCTTGACATATCATATTCCACACTTTGATTCAAGTGGGTTATGAACTCCCACCTTCCCCCCATACACAGATTGCAGGATCACATCAGTTACACATCCATTGATTTACAAATTGCCATACTAGTGTCTGTTGTGCTCCACTGCCTTTCCCATCCTCCACCCTCCCCCCTCCCCACCTCTCCCCTCCCCTCCCCTCCCCTCCTCTCTCTCTACCTCCTCCACTGTATAACCCTGAGGGTCTCCTTCCATTACCATGCAATTTCCCTTCTCTCTCCCTTTCCCTCCCACCTCTCATCCCTGTTAAATGTTAATCTTCTTCTCCTGCTCTTCATCCCTACTCTGTTCTTAGTTACTCTCCTTATATCAAAGAAGACATTTGGCATTTGTTTTTTAGGGATTGGCTAGCTTCACTTAGCATAATCTGCTCTAATGCCATCCATTTCCCTGTAAATTCTATGATTTTGTCATTTTTTAATGCAGAGTAATACTCCATTGTGTATAAATGCCACATTTTTTTTATCCATTCGTCTATTGAAGGGCATCTAGGTTGGTTCCACAGTCTTGCTATTGTGAACTGTGCTGCTATGAACATCGATGTAGCAGTGTCCCTGTAGCATGCTCTTTTTAGGTCTTTAGGGAATAGACCAAGAAGGGGAATAGCTGGGTCAAATGGTGGCTCCATTCCCAGCTTTCCAAGAAATCTCCATACTGCTTTCCAAATTGGCTGCACCAATCTGCAGTCCCACCAGCAATGTACAAGTGTACCCTTTTCCCCACATCCTCGCCAGCACTTGTTGTTTGACTTCATAATGGCTGCCAATCTTACTGGAGTGAGATGGTATCTTAGGGTGGTTTTGATTTGCATTTCTCTGACAGCTAGAGATGGTGAGCATTTTTTCATGTACTTGTTGATTGACTGTATGTCCTCCTCTGAGAAGTGTCTGTTCAGGTCCTTGGCCCATTTGTTGATTGGGTTGTTTGTTCTCTTATTGTCTAATTTTTTGAGTTCTTTGTATACTCTGGATATTAGGGCTCTATCTGAAGTGTGAGGAGTAAAGATTTGTTCCCAGGGTGTAGGCTCCCTATTTACCTCTCTTATTGTTTCTTTTGCTGAGAAAAAACTTTTTAGTTTGAGTAAGTCCCATTTGTTGATTCTAGTTATTAACTTTTGTGCTATGGGTGTCCTATTGAGGAATTTGGAGCCCGACCCCACAGTATGTATATCGTAGCCAACTTTTTCTTCTATCAGACGGCGTGTCTCTGATTTGATATCAAGCTCCTTGATCCATTTTTAATTCACTTTTGTGCATGGCGAGAGAAAGGGATTCAGTTTCATTTTGTTGCATATGGATTTCCAGTTTTCCCAGCACCATTTGTTGAAGATGCTATCCTTCCTCCATTGCATGCTTTTAGCCCCTTTGTCAAATATAAGATAGTTGTAGTCAAGAGGGTTATTTTAAAAAGAGTCTTCCTAGCTGGGCATGATGGCACACCCCTGTAATCCTAGCAGTTTGGGAGGCTGAGGCAGGAGGATCACAAGTTAGAGGCCAACCTCAGCAATTTAGTGAGACTCTGTCTCAAAATAAAAAATAAAAAGAGGCTGGGTATGTGGCTTAGTGGTTAATTGCCCCTGGGTTCAATCCTTGGTATGAAAAAAAGAAAAGAATAAGCCTTCTTGTGTTCTGGCTTGTTATCTGGCAATATGATCTTTTCCTTTTGTACATTCTCCCTCCCTTGTGGAGTCATCAGCTATGATGTGCTGCAGTTGAGGCAGAAGGTGGGCAGTGGCTTACCAGAGCCAGCATGATGCTTTTTGGCCTTTTAGCCTCCAAAACTGTGTGCTAAATAAATTTCTTCTTTGTATAAAGCACCAAGCTTTAGGTACTTTGTTATAGTGATGAAAAATAGACTAATGCAGACCCTTTGGTTATCTAGAAGTGTATTGTTTAACTTCCAAGGATTTATTGAGTCCCCAAATATCCTTTTTTTGATTTATAACGTCAGTCCATTGTGGTTGGAAGACATACTTTGGATGATTTTAATCCTTTGAAGTTGAGTCTTATTTTATGGCCTAGGACATTGGCTATCTTCAAGAATGTTCCATATGTACTTGAAAAGGATGTGTATCCTGCTGTTGTTGGGTGGGTGGTGTAAATGTCAGGTAGGCCAAGTTAGTAGATAATATTGTTCAG